AAGAAACTCTGAGCGAATACACAAAAGAACAATTGGAGGAAATCGACCCAGCCTGCGTTGTTGACCAAGTGTGCGATGCATTGCGACTCCAGTATGGTGATATCTTTGCGTCTGCGTTTTTTCAAGTCCCGTGCAACTGCCGAGAAGTGCTCGCCGCGGTCCTCTCTCGCCGTCGTTAGGGATTATTTGATCGTATCGGTCGTATAGATTTGACAGTAGATAGTCTTCGAAGCTTCGGATTGTTCCGATGGGGCGAAGAAGGCCATCTCGAATGCGCTTTCATTCTTCTTATGATGTTGATGCGGAAACTTCCAAAGAAGCTGGGTGAAGTAGACAATTTCGACGAGCGTCTGACGCGTTCTGTGTTGGTATGGCAGCGATTTGAACAATTCGTGGCGTTCTACCGTCGAGTGAAATCGATTGCTTAGTCTGAGACCCCGGTACCACTATCCACATTTCACGCGGGCGCTCGTCTTGGTGCAATCCATAACATTCTGATTACAGAGCCGAGTTCACGCACTGTGGTGGAAGCGATACACCAACAAGATACAACATCCGGTCCAGATAATTCAACGTGTTTCACAAATCGTGACGGTGGCGTGAAGGTTTCAGCTATGAATACAATCGTCATCAACGGCGCTAGTGCTTCAGCCGGCGATTTATATATGCGAGTGCAATTGACGGTTGGCGACCAACAAGTAAAATGCAACGAGGTGATTCAATGTAAACTGCTGCAAACAAAACAGAAGATAAACGAAGACACATATGCCAAAGAGCGAGCAAAAGCAGTGAACGGAAGCTCGGATGTGTTTTTGCTCGTCACACCAGCTCAAGCGACCGAGTTTGCTCTTCCTCCAAGATGTGGAATTGTTTCAAGCAACGAATTTGGCCGATATTTTGGACCGTTTGCAAGTCGCGCGTATCGAAGTTTTCTGGAGCCACCAAATATCAATACTGCTTCGTTTCATGAATTACGTCGGATAGAAGGCGTGGGTGACGCAACTGCCTCGAAGATTATCGCTGAGAGAAAAAAAACGTCGATTCTCGAATCATGAAGATGCGTCGAATCGAGTGTTTCCAAACAAGAAAAGCAAGACCGCCGAGATTCTGGGCTGTATGCATTGTGATGACGCCGGAGCTGATTTGTAAGTTGATCTAGCTTGGCCGTTGTGCAAATGGACATCCAGCTGCGTTATTCCAGATCCAAGGGAGCGCTTTTGGCGCAAGGCGGTCATATTTCATACAATCGAAGTATCCATTTGATCGACATAATTTTGTCTTTCCCCCAGTTCAGTGTCATGGTTGTATCCGAGTCGTTAAACTAGAGGTGCTTGCATTGATCGGGAGGGCAGTGCATTATATTTTGATCAATTATTCCTGAAGTAATTCGGATAGAAAAGGATAAGCAAATCTTACCTCCAAAAATCTGTTGATTTGAAACAGAAGGTGATGGAACCAAAACATTCACTTGGATAAACTAAACTTACTGCTTAAATGATGCTAAATCTTAAATCTACCAAATCAGACCCAGTTTGATTCGGCAACCCCAACCCTATATCAAAATTTGGAGAATAAAATAGGAGTATACAAAGTAGTACTACATCACAAAAAGAATGCTTTGATTACAACTGAGAGTAACTCCCTAAATGGGAATTGCTCTGTTTATCTGTCTCATTTCAGCCATCCACTATGCGGTTCTTAAAAGTAATGCTCTCACTTTAACCGTGGTTTCCTCAATGTTAAATCGCAATCGAGGAGGTAAGAAAAGAGATAATAGGGGGAGAGCCATATTTTATTAGTTTGATGCATGCACGGAAGTCGCCACAGATTAGGATGCATGCATCCTAAACAACACAATGAGGAATCCAGCACAAATGCTTTTTTTTGTTTTAGCTAAGCGGAGTATTGCGTTTGCACTTGATCTCGTTTTATTTGGAACTCAAACTGAAGCAGCTCACGCCGATGATGTAATTCTATCTCCCGCCAGGCACCAAGATCGATGTTGGTATTATAGTCGCGTCTCTCATTGCGTCTTGGTTCATTTCGAGCTCTGGTAACGCTTGGGGCACTCGGCAGGCTTTCCAACAGCAGGCCGAACCTTGTTATCAGCTTATCAGGTATTAGCTTGGGGTTATTTTGCATGCGATGAAACCCGGCCATAAATATCCTCCAAGTTACTACCAGTTTGGTAGCCAAATTACTATCAGTATTATTTTAATTTACTTAAATATATTAACACTTTGTAAACAAACCCAAATTTTCAGGAAAGAAGGCAAAATAATGTAAGGAATTGGGAATAGTAGCGGAGAATTTCTTATAATTATTACCATACTCAGCTGTAGCTTGGCGAATGAGAACAGCACGATCGATCAGAAAGCAGCTGAACCAACGCGAATGTACGGTGTGTTTGAAGCACAGTGCTTCTGCACTCTTCAAAAGAACGCGGATCAGAGTCACAGTAGATTACAAGTACTTGAACCGTGATCGCTTCTTCATCGCTGAAAAAGGAAATCACTGGATTGAGTCACACACCTAGCGGTCGCTGTGGGGTTCTAGACTCTTTGAAACATTTATTACTGTCTTGGTGAGGCTGCAAAGTAGAGAGAAGCATCACTTGGTACAACTAACACAGTTCTACCAGTGGTAAGATTGTTTGAAATCTGCCTCGACTGAGGCAAAAGCTGGAGAAATTGTTAGCTGCTGTGAATTTGCTTCTTAGCACTGATCTACGAACAGCGGAAGGCCTTGGACCTTCAGTCTCAATCAAATAGCGAGAAGCGACGACGACGGCGGCGGCGATTGTCGTTGCTGTCATCGCTGCTGTCTTCTTCCTCGTCGTCGGACGAACGGCGACGGCGGCGACGGCGGCGCCTTTTGCGGCCACGTTCTTCTTCATCTTCATTTGTGAGCTCGTTGGTCGCGAGCAAGCGCTCAGCGAGCGCATCGCCACCGGTGGCAATGTCAGCGGTTGTAGTGGCTCCCCTCAGCGCTGTGACCTTCGAGGTGTCAAGCGCATTGCCGGTCGCCACCAGAGTGGCTCCGATCACGGTTGCTACGAGCACGTAAAGACGCATAGCAGCAGTAGTTGGAAGGTCAAATTGGCGCGGTGGGTAGTAGCTATGCTGGAGAGAGCGAATTGCCAAATGTTGTTGTTGCAGGACAAGAGCCATGATTGCGATGCTTGTGTGGTGACCGACTGGGTCGACAATAAATTAAAAAGGGATGATTCACGATCATCAAGAGCAAGAAGCAATTCTTCGGGAATCAGAAAGCCAGAGGCAGGAAATCTCTCGTACACAGGATCTGGTAGAGACTCTACCGTAGAGTCTCCGTCATCGTCGCAAAGCAAAAATTTACATAGTTTGTGGGTACCAGAACTGGAGTTATTTGCTCCGTTCTCAAATACTAAGCTACGGTTAGAATTTAGATAAACAGTTCGGATTTGCGTCACGTGCTCATGCTGAGCAGTATTCTATGGGTCACGGAATACTGCTAGCAGCATGCAAGTGCTTCAGCGAGGAGTCTACGGGAAGGCTTTGCTGACGATTCTCAAGTGGTGATTATGGCACTCTGACCCTACAGATGTGTTAGTTTCATTATGATATTGAACCATTAGCGCAAAACTATAAAAAAATCTATATTGGCTGGTTCAGCGAAAATGACGAATTGTGCGAGCACGACCTTTTAAAAAGGGTTAAAGTCAAAATTCACCTCTGGTAGTGAAAAGGTTAATGAAAGCGTTACTAGGTAAATTGCTTTCCCTAGTTTTCAGGCTGTTTGGGGTCGAATCTGACGAAGTAGTTTTAATACTTCAAGTACTGTAATTGTTCGTTATTTGGCAAAACAAGCAGGATACGCTGTGCTGCCCAGCGTTTCCTCCTCGATTGGTTCCTATGTTTGCTCACTCAGCCTGGCTGAGTCAGCTACCAGGCTACGAACGCTAACGCTGCCAGTGCAAACATGTAGTTCCCTTACTCGCAGTCAATGGTACATGGTACTGGTATTTATTTTACCAGCCCTGATGGCCAGACCGATGCCAACATTAGAGGGAATTGGACTCTATCGTCTCCCCACCACAAAAGTTGTGGCGGTGTCGCCACCTGCTTCGCTCGTCATCGCTTTCATCGAATTCATCTGGCAACACATCCGATTTGTTGTCTTGCCCAAGGGTTTCCAGAATTTGGCCAGACACGTCGCATCTCCTTTCAAGGAAGGATTTCAAGGAAGGATTGCTGGCCGCCAGCACATCGACCGCAGAAGCAAGCCATACGCTAAAAGAGTTAAAGGAGTAGTAAGTACTTATCAAATACTGCCTAGGTGGAGTTTTAAGTCCTAAAGAGGAACTTGCTCATAGTCCAATGGTATTCACATGGCAAGTCGTGCCTGCCCCACTGTTACATGTACCCCTCAGGTACCTACTATCCGACCAGGAAGAGCAGAGCACAGTGCTTTCTGGGCAGTTGACAGCATGGCTATCCACGGTGGATTCCACCGGGACGCTCCTGGATTGATTGCGTTCACTTTCATAAACCTAAATTTTTCAAATCAAAATTTACAACAAACTTAAAATTCAATTTCAAACTTACAATTTCAACCGTCGATGGCTGCATCCGGCAGGCGGCGGCGCAACGGTTCCCTGGGTCAGATCCCGCTGAGCTCAGGCGAGATCGAGCTGTATTCACGCCAGGATGAGGCGGCACGTCGCCGACGTCGGCTATTGGCCGTGCGCGAGCAGGAGCGTCGTCTGGCGCAGCAGGTGACGCAGCGCTACCGCGACAATCTGCAGAAGTTGCAACGCAGCAAGAGCAAAAGGGTCCACAAACAGCTAACCTTGGAGCAGCAGAAGCTGCTGACTGAGCTGCATGTGCGCTACCAGTATTCACTACAGAATATGGGTACAGCACACCGTAATGCGCGGTTTAAAATGCTGGAGCTAATGGAACAAGCCCAACAAGAGAAGGAGAAGTGGACGTACAACCGCCAAATTACAGGTAAACAACGGACCATGGAGGCTGAAGAAGCTCGGGAGCAGGAGGAGCAATTGAGGACGGCGAGACGTCGACAGGTGCAGCAGAACATGGAGAGATTGAGACTTTTAAGCGGCCAGCAGAGACAACAGGCCAGTGCTCGGGCCAGACGCGAACAGGAGGTGGCCATGCTACGCGCTAAAGACAAAGAGGAGATCGAGAGACTGAAAAGGATGCAGAGTCCCGAAGAGGTGTGTATTGTCCCAAGGCCACGAGAGAAAGATGTCTTGTCGTATCAGTATACGAGGGCACATTGTCATGCAACGACGTCGACAGAGGAGAGGCCGGTGACGGTGATTCGACATAATAGAAAACACCCGACAGCTATGCGTGGAGAGGAAGAGGCGAAGAAATACAGCGAGGAGATGGATGTTAAGAGGGAGCGCGATAGATTAATAATGGAGGACCAGCAGCAGACGGCGACGCAGAGAGGAGAAAATGCCTTAGAGAGTATCACGTCGAAGCAACAAGGCCAACAAGCGATGGAGTGGCTGGCATTGGTGGATAAAATGGAGCGACATACCCGTGGGTGGGAATTAGGAGGTGGAGACGACTATTCTGTGGATGCTGGACAGGTGGATAGAGAACGGAACGATCCCGAACAAATGGCGGAGCGAGCGTTTGCGCGAATGCTTGAGCTTGACGAAGAATCGGTCGAGTTGTCTGTATTTTCGATTGCAACGGATGATGATCAGTCTGTTGGGTTGGCTGATACCGGTCAAGAGAAATCTGACGGCGACAAGGTTACGAATGCAAACGCTGACTACAAGGTGAAACTTAAAGCTACGGAATACCCAGGTTCTTTTGATTCTGTTGATGGTATCAAGGCAAGGAAGCCTGGTAAGAATGCCCAAGGTGAAGGTACGATGGGAAAGAGTGGTCCGCAAGAAGGTGGTGAGGTTCTGTTGAAGCCAAGGGTTGGAAGGCACGTGAATAACGACAAGTCAGCGGAGAATTCATTCGCCGACGATGGCAGGCAGCGTGGAAATATGTCGACAGATAGAGGACATTTGCAATGGGACTCACACGCTAAGAGTGCTGGAAGTGTTGCAGGTGACGATGATAGGGGACAACGCAGGTACGAGGAGGAACGTCCTGAAGGCACCGATAGTGAAGAAGAGGAATTCGACCATGACTCGGACCGGTTGAGAGATGATGAAAACTCCATGCAGCGATTAGATAACCGGTCCCAGGAAGTTCGTGGTTTTCGCTTGTCGAAGCCACAAAGTCGACCAGTTACAGCACAAAATGAATTTTCTGATCCAAGTGATAGCCGTGGGAAAGCTGGTGACCGCTCTGTACTTGATGTTTCCAGCGAGAACGGTCAATCCTCTTTATCTCTATCGAGATCGTCTGAACATGCAGTGCCTAGTGGGAGTCGTCACAGTTCATCAGGTCTAGATGAAAGATTTGTGGCAGATGAGGAGGAGTTTTTCCGTACTGGACGTTATCTCGATACTCGACACAGCTCTGATTGTGCATCGATGGAGCGGAAAGAAATGCACGATGATAGGCCGATTCCAGATCGGTATACCTCAGAGATTTATCCTGGAGAGGAGCATGCGACTCGCTCGCATGATGATCGAACTGGCTCGGAGTATGCTTTTGAGTCGGATATTGCTGGGGATCGTCATCTGCATGGAGACTCCTCGGCTGCATCTTCTCGAGCAGAGAGTCGTTTAGGTCACGATGGAGAGGAACGAGAGGGTGATGAAGCTGGGCACGAAGAGCGTGATAGTCGTGTCAAGAGATCGAGAGACCAAGTTGTAGTAGCACTGCAGAGCAACGAGAACTCGGTTATTCTCGATAGAACCGAATGCGATGAGGTGTCTTCTGGCTTACGAGATCGTGACGTAGAACGCTTGCCAAAGCAACCAGTTCAACTTAGAGATCAAGATCACTTGGAGTCAAGCCATTACTCTGATACCCAAGCATTCGAAGTATGTCTTGGGCACTTATCCTCAAGTTCAATCCTTTCAGACGACGAAGAAGTCCGTGATGATAAAAGATCTCAAGAAGGCAAAAGCTCTATAGTGGCTCAAAAGGATGAAGACGATCGCTCGGTATCCGAATCATCTTTCGCTCCCAGTCAAAAGTCTCTTTCACGTCTTGATGAAGTGGTAAATGCCAGAGCGAGAGCGCTTGAGCAGCGGTTCATCGACCAACACATGTTGTCGTTCTCATCAGAGGAACACAGTGAAGACGAGGAAAAAGTCGAGACAGGAGTGCGTCGCTCATCTGGCGACAGCAGCGATGCACATCCTCCTGTTAACGTCAGTCCGTATGATCCGTATCGCCAGCAAATGGATCATCGATCGCGAAGAACTTCAGCTTCTTCTGTGACTCAATACTCGCTACCCCCTTCGGACTCTCAAAGCTCGTTTGACGACAGCTTCGACCAGTCGCGTCCTGGATATGGTGACGATAGCTTTGTAAATGAACTCGTACCGATGTTCCCAAAACGCGCACTGCCTCAGCAATGTCTTGAAGAAGAAAATCAAGCGGAAGAGGAGTTTGATGTCCAGTTGGTGGCTCCAAATATGAGCAGAATGCTGCCAGCAGAACGAAGAAGTTCATTTAATCGAAGCCGGCAATACCCGAGTCAGCATCAACTCCCAGATCATCTTCGTCGCGAATCTGCATCTGACAGCAGTCGGAGTTCCTCAGAATCTTCATCTTCAGACGTGGAGGCCAAGAGTGTTGATACCTCCGTGGAACAAGCACGAGCGCAACAGACTCGAGCGGCTCCAAGCACGACCACGAGATCTCGCAGGGATAGTCACGCTGACACAGTTGAGCATCTCGATGACAATCGGTCCGATATTTCCAGTGAGTCCGGTGTTTCCAGTCTTGGTTTCGCTGTCCAGTTGAACCTTGTGGCTGGAACTACTCGAAGACGCAATAAAGGGGCCAATCGGCAAGAAAAATTCAAGCGTGGAGACAATCAACAACGTGAAGAAGATGGCCGAGATGATGAACTAGACAATGAAAGTGTCGCTTCCAAACGAAGTTTTGCATCCAGTTCCAGCATGCCGATGGACGCTCGCTTCAACTACCTCGCCAATATGACATCTGCGGTAGGGAAGTCGCTGCCTCTGCATCTCCGGATACCAGCTATGATTTATGGTAACAAGGATATGACCAAGCCGCCTGCACCGATGGATTGGTCGGAATCGTCGGTCTCTTCTTTTGCAACTGCCAGTGAAGATCCCGATGGAAGAGCTCGACCTACTCGCAGAATTTCTCGCTCGGACTCAAGTTCGAGTGGGTCTCCTCTCGAGGAACAACGTGCTATGGATGGATCGGATGCAAACAGCGACAACGATAGGAGCAGTGAAACTGGAGAGGAAAGAGCCAAACGCGTGACTTTCGACAGCATCAAGAAGAAAATCTCGGCGCTGGCACCGCCTCCACTGGGCTCACTCAACATGAGTCGTCCACCTCCACCCATGCAGACCTCTGACCGTCACTTTGACGAATCTCAATCGTCTTCGGATCAGCATTCCGACAACACTCCGTCGTCCGGAAGACGTCATTTACCACCGCCCCCCGTCGGTTCAATCAACATGAGTCAGCCGCCTGCCATGCACAACTATCGCCGCAGCAACCAGTACGGGAGCGAAGAAGAAAGAAAACACGATGATTCAAGTAGTGACGCGTCATTTAGCAGTTCAGTCGCGAGCTCTCAACGTCACAGTTTGAAGAAAGCGGAGAGAATAGTCATCCCCGCAAAGAAAGCGAAGGGTAATAGTAACGACAGCGATGGAGATGATGCTGGAAAGGAGATGTCACTGGCTGAAGCTTTCCAGAGACGCCATCCTCGCTTCGGTCAGCGCGTTGAGAGTCACCAGGACAAGCTGAAACGTCAGAGGGAGAAGCAACCAGAGCAGAAAGCAGAGACTCTAGAGCAGAAAACCACTGCAAAGCGTGATACTGCTCCAGATGACCTCCCTCCCGAGAAACAGGAGCTGCTCAACCGCTTGGCTAGCGGCAGTCGGGCCAAGATTTCAAACCGCGAGATGAAAGAGCGCAGTCGTCGACTGTACCATCAGCTTCCCGAGGTTGTTGAGCGCAAGCGTCAAGAAGAAGTGATGCGCAGACGACGAGAGCGACTCAACGAGCTGCGCGAACAGGAAAAGGTGCGTCATAATGTGAGAATCAGTTATGATGGAGTTGTTTGCTGACCTTTGTTGTGGCAATTATTGCAGGAGCGACGTCTTCAGCAGAAACAGCGTCGACAGCAGCAACTGCAGCGTCGATAAGGAGCTTAAAGCTGCAACTTTCTCTATTTGCATGAATATTACTATTTAGAAACTTGAGATTTGCTGTCCTGAGAGCTTCTATCCACACCCCAGTTGATGAGGCTATTCATTCTTCTTGGGGGGTTTGCTGGTGTTGTCGCTGAGGTCTGGGATGGTCTGTAACCAAGCATTTATGTATCAGTGAGCACAATGAGTTATTACAAGGAATGCTATCCATTAAGACGCACCAGATCAGGCTTGAGGACCGCGTGCATTGCACTGGAACCCGCGAAGAGCGAGCCCAGCGTCGCGCTGAACAGGAGGAAGTACTGCTTTGCCGTCACCCGCGCCATTACGAGTAGTAAATGCAAATGAAAGGCTAGGTCACTCATTAACGTCCAATCAAAACATCGCAAAACCTGAGGCTCATCAATTTCCTGTTCATTTCTACACGCAGCATCAATAAGACACAAGCTCGACTGCTTCTGTTGGAGTGACGATGCTTCGTACCGCTGTACGTCGCTTCTCCACTGAAGCGTCCAAGCAGATCCCGAAGAGACAGCACAAGAAGAAAAACCAATTTGCCACGGCGGGTCTTCCGCTCGTGCTCTTCATCGTTGGTGGATATGTGGCATTGACGCAGGTTAGACCAAGCTGCAATTGAGTTGTGAACTATAGTCCTGGTTATTAATTGCTTGTGGGTTGTCCATGTGTGCACAGTTTGTCGGTGGCAAATACGAAGCAAGAGATCACTTGGTGAAAAGTCAATCGGAGCATTTGTTCAACTTGGAGGAAGAGCACAAGGTGCGTCGACAATTGGCACATTAGAATTGACCACAACTGACTTAATTTTTCATATTGTTGCTGCTGCTTGCAGAGAATGACCAAGAAGCTGGCTCTGGACGACTTCGAGCTAAAGCCTGTGCCCAAGCCCAAGGACTAAACTTTAGCTAGTGTCCATCTTACGTAACCTTCATGTAGTCCATCTCCTCCCTTAATTCCGAATCCCTTTTACTCTTTCACATTATCGACAAAATTGGCCACGTAAGAAATGTTGTCGCGTTCCCGGCGCGCATTGGCGCCCGATTCCAGCGGCCCCTCGCCGCGTTCCGGCTGCTTCGTACCGTTCATCTTCTTCCTGGGTGTATTGATCACATGTTTCGGCTTCATCTTGAGCGAGTGGGAGCCTGTGGACCGCAGTAACATTGGCGGTGTCAAGGCTGAAGACTTCCTCTCATACGGACCCATCGACGTCGTGTATACGTGGGTTAACGGCACCGATCCACGCTGGAAGAAGGAGAAGGAGTTCTGGCACAAACACTGGATCGCTTCATTGACTGGCCAGCCGCTGCCCGTGTGGGGACAGGAGGCCGATGTTAAGGGCAAGGACGACTCGAACTCGGACAACCGATTCCGAGACAACGAAGAGCTCCGCTATTCTCTCCGTTCATTGGAGAAATATGCGCCTTGGGTACGTCACATCTACGTGGTTACAGACGGTCAGATCCCTTCGTGGCTCGACATTGAATCCCCCAAGCTCAGCATCGTCAAACACCGCGATATTTTCGCTAATAAGAGCCACTTGCCGGTGTTTTCTTCTCCTGCTATCGAGTGGAATCTGGATAATATCCCCGGACTTAGTGACATGTTTCTATACTTTAACGACGATGTGTTCCTGGGCTCTCCAGTGCGACCCGAGGACTTTGTGAGCCAAGCTGGAGTGCAGAAGGCCTACTTCGCATGGGAAATCCCGCTGTGCTCCAACAGATGCTGGGAGAGCAGCTTGGCCAATGGACGATGTGATAAAGAGTGCAATGTTACAGCCTGTGACTTTGACATGGGGGACTGTGGATGTGACGTGAACCCTCTGGATGGATCGGTGACGTGTGATGCAGAGAAGATCGCGAGTATCTTGGAACAATCGCCCAAGCCGCCAAAGATTGGGAATCATATATGTCAAGGATTGTGTCATTATCAGTGGCTGGGAAATGGAATGTGTGATCGTACGTGTAACGTGAGCTCGTGTGCGTTTGATGGAGGAGATTGCAGAGTGGTGAAGCCCTATGACCGAAACAGACCTTATCTTCACGACGAGGAAGATGAAGGCATGTCACCATTGGTGAAGGACTTGTGGTCGGCGGATGTGGAGTTGAACCACACACTTGTGCAGGTGCCATTGGATGTGAACGCGACGTACATGAATCTAACGGATGCGTTTGGCGTCAATGGCAGCATTTTGAGTGCTGCTCATGATAATGAAGAGCTTGTTCGCTTCGCTTCTGTATACGAGAAGGAAATGGTGCTGTTACTAGTGTTTGGTCGCGATTCGGATGCCAATCCGATGACGAGTAGTGTCCAGATCACAGTTGTTGGTGAAGATGCGGAAGGTACTCCTATCCAGTTGGACTTCTCGCTGATGCGTGGAAAGAACCAGATTGAAGAGGTTACGAGTCCTGCTCAAGTGGAAGGCGTTGAAGAGATTTCCAGCGGTGTATCCACGTTCCAAAATACCAGTATCCGGCCTCAACTCATCCGTCTGCCTTTTGGGTTTCGACAAGCTAAGTTCCGCAATGTTATGCCTTCTACTGATGAAGAAACAGAGATAAAACTTGCAACGGCGTCAGAAGATGGAGAGGAGGTTTTGTTAGATGGGCAGATCGCTGTTGTTGCAAACAAGTTGGCTAACAAAGTGCCGCTTATTGAGGTGTTTCTGCCGTTTAACATCACAGGAAAGAAGCTGAACGACGGCGATATTCTAAACCTCGGATGGAACATGGACTTGCGGCTGCATAACGACGTAAAGGATATCGACTGGAGTGACCACGATGTTTGCCAGTTGAAGGTGCCGAAGAAGAAACCAGCGACACAACCTGCTACTGATGATTCTGCTGGTCAAGCAAAGAAAAATATCGCGGACGGCAGGAAAGAAGGTTCTGTAGCGGGTGAAGACCAAGCTGAAGATATGATTATTCCTCTCCTTGCGGATTCACTGGAAGAGAAGATTGAGCAGAATGACAAGACGCTAGATGCTGCTCAGGATGAAGCTAATCAGGACGAGAATATGGAGGCAGAAGTTGCTGAGTACGATGGCGGTATCACGAAATGTCGGCTTGCGGATGACAACCGTGGTGTCATTGTCACTGTGCGAGTTTTGACGAACCACGCCCACGCTATACTCTCTGCTACTGGAGTTCTTGACGACGAGGAGAAGGAGAGTGAAACAGATGCTCCTGATACTCCCGAGACAAGCAGCTCTGCAGCTAGTGATACGAATGGAATTGATTACAGTGCAGTGAACAAAATGATGGAGGAGTGGAAGACGAGTCCGCAGGCCGCTGACGGCCAAATCTGCTTCTTCGATGCGGACCGTGCTGATCCGTCACGTTATCGCTACTGCTTCGCTCTAGCACTGGGTCACTACCACTCGGAAGAAGTGGAGTTGATGCACAAGCCTACGCTCTGGGCTCTCTTGCATCCGCCCAAGCCTAAAGTAGTGTATACGCCATACACGGGCGATGACCCAGCTTTACTTGAGCTGCTTGACCGTTGTATTGACACCACCCGACGTCTCATCGGCATTCGTCCTCGACTGTGTTACAAGAACGAAGTGCCTATCCCGCGTCCTGCCAAGGACGAAGATAAAGTGGACTTGCAAAAAGAGAAGGAAGAAGAAGGTCGTCGTCTCGCCTGTGAAGCCCAGAAGCGGCGATTGGTTCAACGTGAACAGCGCGAGAAGGAGGAGCGAGTAGCTCAATCCAGTGGCCTCTTTGGAGGCTTGAGTCGCCTCGTTGGGAACATCAAGACGACCGTCGGTCTTGGACATGTCGTGTCTACTAACGAAAGCTTGGATGACGTCGAATACGCAGACGTCTGTGGTCCTGCTGAGCCTAAGGAAGAAAAGCCCAAGATTACACTTCGAGACGCACAAGCTCACCTCTCCAAGGACACGTTTGGAGACTCCCTGCGTTATGTCAACAAGCTGTACAACCGCGCCTTTGGCAAGCCAAAGACATCAGATCGACGACGTGTACCATCTCACATGCCCTTCTTGCTGCAAAAGTCTATCATTCGTGAGATTAAGGACCACTGGACCAAGGAGATTCAAGATACGAGTGCTCATCGCTTCCGTCACCCTCAAGACATGCAGTTCAGCTTCTCATACTTCCATTATCTGATCAACCGCGCCAAGATCCACCCTCACACATTAGAAGAAATCTGGAGAGAATACCTGGACGCCAACCGTAACGGGATCTTGGACGAGAACGAAGTGCTGACTGCTGCTAGTCTCGCACACGGCGACGCCCCGCCTGAGGATTTCGTGAACGAAGTGCGCGAGTGTGTCCAGCCTGAAAAACGCGAGAAGGTTCGCGAGATTCCGACAGCTGAAGGAACACTGAGACTCAGCGAGACGTTGACGCCGTATATTACTCTGGAGAACCTCGAGCGATGTCCTTCAGTACGTGACGCTCTCATCAAGAACGTACGATACGAGACCAAGGTGGAATTGATGCCGGAGACTGAAGTTACGTTCCACATGCTAAGTGACAATTTCAAGTTTGCATGGAAACAAATGATGGGCACGCGAGCACGACGCACCAAGTTTGTGTGTATTAATGACGACATGAAGAACCCGTCGACTGCAGTGAGTCAGATCCTGCACGAACTGTTCCTGTCTATTTGGCCCAAACGCTCGCAGTTCGAACTACCGTATCATCTGAAGAACCGCTATGCGCACATCGACGAGTTTAATGCTGCACAAGAGCGTCGTCATCTTGCAGCAGCCATTGCAGTCGTGATCTTACTGTTGATCGCTTTCGTCTTCCGTGCTGAGCTCCGTGCAATGTTTGGCTTCCAGGACATCGCGCGGGCACGTGCTGCATCAGCTTCGCAACTTACTCAAGACTTCCAGCAAGCTCAAGATGAAGAGGATAAAGAGGACGACGACCCAACGAGTAAGCGACGTCCAAGGAAGGCGTCGGCCTAGAGAAAGTAGAGGAACGCAATGAAAGTAAGTGCATTAACAATTGAGGAGTTGGCATCAGATGTTTGTGGGTTTAATGCTTTTTGCGAAATAATGTAAGGAAACGTTCAGACGTTGCACTCTCTTCTGCGTCACATCGAGGAGAAAACCCCCGTAGTCTTTGGTCGATAGAGCACGAGGTAGATGACTAACCGACGGCCCTCCACCACGCACGTCTCGTTGGTCTGGAAACGGGAAAAATAGCAGAGTTACGACAGATCTGGACGTTGGGTGCCTTGATCTGGTAGCTTTTGGCGTCTGACGCTTCGGCGTGCAGCCCATAGAATAATGAATAGTAGTAGAACGGGACTGGGTTGTCTATAGAATACCTGGGCCGCGGAGGGCCAAGGCCTGGCTGGCCACGTACGGCCATTGCTGGCCGTCGATGGCCTAGTACACGTCTGGCGGCTGCTGCTGGTGGCCGATGCCGGAGCTGGTGCTGGTCTGTAGGTGGACCCTCAGTGTGTAGTTGGCCTGCTCTAGACGCTTCATGTGCTCGGCGGCCTGAGTGGCCAGCTGTTTCAGCGCGCTGTTCTCGTTCTGGACCTCGTCCTTCTGCTGGTTCTGGATGGCCACGGCGCGTTTCAGCAGCTTGTTCTCGCTCTGGAGTCTGGCCACGTCGTTGGCCTGAACGGCCACACGTTCCTGTGTCTGCTGCAGCTCCTGGCCGAGCCGCTGGAAATCGGCCTCCTTCTTCATGATGAACTGCTCGTACTCGGCCCTTATTCGGGCAATCTCTGCCTGCTTCACCTGCTCAAAGTACTCGACATGGCGCTGACTGTACTTGGCCACGTCAGCGTCGTCGGTGGCCTCGTCTTGGCCGCTAGTTTCGCCTACTCCGCGACGCTGACGCTTCCTTGAGAGGTCGAAAGAGTCGGCCAGTCGCGAGCGCTTCTTGAGGCCGTCAGGGTAGACTATAGACATGGCCAGAGACAGAAGAAGGTGGGAAGACGTGGCCACATGCATGGAGAGCAAGAGAGAGAGGATCAAGTACCTGGGGAAGCTGCAATGGAAGCCATTGGAATGGAATTCCGCAGTCCGTAGGTGGGGAGTTTTGCTGTGGTCGAGGCGACTCGAGGGAGCTTCGCTGACTGGGGGTTTGTATGCGACAGCATCACAGGAGCCAGAGAAGGGAATGTACCAGATTTATGGTACACCGAGAATGATTGCGTGATATGAAAAAGTAAAGCGTTTCCATTGCTCAAATGAGGTTAGGTTTCAGGAAAATATTTACTTTTTGTTAGATTACCCTACCTGTTACTAACGACATGCGTCGGGTCATAGAACGCGTCTGACGCAAGGGCGCATATGCCGCGCTTTTAGAAAACTGAGCATGGTTCCGATATCAACACGAAATACGGAAGAGAGACATAGTACACATTGATCACAGGATACACGTTGGTAAGAGATTTGCTTAGGCTTGTCGCGTCTGGATTTCCTCTCAAGACGGATGTATCGTGCTGACATCAATTGTAAGCGCGTTTGTGGTTGAACCCACTGCGACCTTCAGCCAGTGGTTCGTGTAGTAGGCTACATACATCGATAGTATGCTGAATTGGCAGCATTTTGAGCCCCTTTCCAATAATGGAGTTTTCTTACATTTTTAGCGATTAGTTTCGTATTGCTTAGTGGTAGACAATGTCCCACTCGTCTTTCGCTCAGCAGATGTCAACCCCTTGATAAGTTTGAACTGATGGCGTACTGCCTCGGCATTCCAAATAGAGCCCCCCCCCCCCCCTTTGAACCTTTGAGGTTGCTGAACTTTGGTAGACTACACCATTTCCAGTCCAAACTGGGGCATCCACTAGAGCTGAGTGAGACAGCGCACGGCTATGACCATTGATTAGGGCACCAACCTTAACAAGTCAAGCTCGATGTGCTCTCCAAGCTCCTCCTCGAGTCGACTTTCGGTTGGATTGTGGGTGGGGACATTGTCGAGGACAATGACAATCGTCCGCCCTTCAAAATGCCGCTGGAAACTCTCCAAACAGTTAATGGTGGTGTAAGCGCGCTTGGCAAACTCCGCATCCTCTTCCATACAGATGCTCCCCCGTCGAAGCTGGTGCAGCACGAGGACATCTTCAGTCGATACTGAACACTGAACTTTCAAGTTCTTCCCGTGAGAAGGGGGGACGCTTGACGACACAATGCTCTCCTTTCACAGCGCGGCCTTGCAAACGAATGCAAAAAAGATTGTTGTTGGATTCGTCGTAGTACACAACGTAGTCGCCGTCCGCGATGTGTATAATAAACATCTCCGCAAAAAGTTTGCACTTTACTTTATTAACTTCATTGTTACACATCGAGGGTTCACGACAGGCCTACATATACATGCAGATTATCAATAAAATAAATGTTAGATCACACAATAATATTTTTAAACAAATCATTCTGATACCTGCTTAACTGCGATCAGTTTGTTTGGCAACTTGACTCTGATTGTAGACGTGGACAGCGTCACTCCGAAGTCATCCACAACTCGCTCGCTAAGCCGCTCTAACGAAAGCGTGCAGGGTTCTTCCAGGTATGACTTCATCGCAGTGATAATTCATCTGTGCACTTCGTTGAGACGTCGCGCGCACTACCGCTCTTAGGTAGAGTAGGATTCCCAGAATTACAGAGTCGATAGGCTGCAGAGCGCAAAATTCCGTTGTGCCTGGCGACTGTGAGCCAGTCTTTCTCAGCCACGTAAGCGCTCAGAACGCGTTGGCACTCCTCCTCCGTGGCAGTTTCCTGCTGATTTGGCGAGAGCATCGGAGACGCAGCGATATGGCGTAGCTCTGGCGGGTGTCCCAGTTTGGACTGGATATGGTGTAGCACGTTATTTTACTGTTGATCCATTTCACTGGAATTTAAAGTGCCTTCAGTATTGTTTTCAATAGATAAAGAGGGCTGTGGCGACGGTGCCTTTACGTTGTGCTTGCGTCGGTAAAATGTAGTAAACCAGATTATATGTGCTTTGTGATCAAGTGCTTAACAGTCCGCCCGTTGTGAGCCTTCATCCGCAGCCGCTTGGTCAAGCCGATTTCGCACAAGGGTTCCAACCCGCCATTCCATCATGCGTAGTGACCTAAGTCGATCAGATGGCGCAAACATAAACCTGTACTGAGTACCAGCGCGGTGGGACGTGTGGGACTTGAATCATATATCGCGCCATTGTTGGGGAGACCCCATTACGATAGAAATTTCGAACAGCATAGATGAGTAAGAAATGCTATGAAAGCCTACTTAGAAATCATATCTACCCGATTCCACTCCTGCATCCTAGCAGCATGTAGAAGAGTCATCTGGTTAAATAACGCTCTCCGTGAGTTTTGGACAGTGCTAGTAAAATGTAGTCCTTCTGGTTCCACTTGTGCTCCGTCTTTGGCGGTACGAACGTCAGCCAACCTGTTTATTGAATTTCCGCCGAATTTATAAACGTCGTACGTGATAGACACGTTAGTGGTGGAAGCACATTCTCGGTCATCAGTCCTTGTGTGTGAGTTTTGCACTGCAGACTCAGCACCTCATTAATTCGGTACATACCATAAAAGGACACAGCGAAGGACTGTAAGCGAGTCGCCGCTATGAATTCAGGCGATTGTCAAGTGCGAACGCTGAGCGTATTCAAAGAAATAGGGGTAGTCTGACGCTGCATAAATTCGGTACTCGCCCGCATCTATAGCCCGCGCATGAACTACCAAACAAATATATATTTTTTTGATTGCAGTGCCCGTACCTGCTATCTTGATCACCTGTGATTACCATTCACTTGTCTAATTCTGTCGGGTCTCGGCTTTTATAACGGTCACAGTAGTTGCTACAGTCGCACAAATCTTTTCCGCTGACTGATGAGATAGCAAATCGAAAGCAGATACGATTTTCTGAACACAGTGTTGAGCGGGGCAAGCGCTAACAAGCGCCATAGCAGCGGGGGTTGCAGCCCCAGAAGCCACGGCGCATGGGTTTTGAAACAAACGAAGCATGCATAGAGTAACCACGAGTTGTAGTCGATCGCAGGCTAAGCTAATATACTCACTTCTACAGTTGATCAAGGGTGACAAACAACAAAGAATGCTTTAGCTGGGGAGTCGCTCCCAGCATGGAGGAGTCCGACGAGGCAATGGTGCCTCACTCTGGGACGGGGATGCCGATTGCGGTGTACCCGCCTCTATCACCTAATACAGATCGGGAATTGACGTTGACCCGGGAAACAACGACACGAATGGCAGTAATGCAGGTTGGGGAAACACACCGCCAAGTTGAAGCACTGGCCCAGCACTCAGCGGCCGTGCAGCAAATGACTGGCGAGCAGCTTGGGCAAGTGAGCGCCAGCAGGAGCATCTGGCGGCCAAGACATCGGAATATCTTCAGCAACAGCACGACCGTCAGTCGGCCATGCACGAGCAGCAGCAAGATATAATGCAACAAACGGAAGAGCACCGGCGATTCCTAGAAGAACAGTTCCGGTTGTTGAAAGCGGCTGAAGAAGCTGTGGGTCTACAGGGGAAGCGTCTGGAGAGCCTAGTAGAGGCGGTGCAGCCTCATCTTCAAGCGCGCTGGGGTGCGTTCGAGCAAGGAGCAGCACCTCCATCGGGGAACCGCAGCTCTGAGACGCCTGTCACAGTAGCTGCTGGAACCAGCCAGCCGGTACCCCCGATATACCGAGGCAGCTCTAAGAAGGAGAAGCATGACTTCATGGATAGTTACGCCATCTCTACACGTCGCATTAAAGCTTTAAACCAAGGCACACAAGCGAGCATATTTGTGATGCCTCTTAGTGCCTGCATCGAGCAGAGCACGATGGTGCGCATTTGTGGCTTTGAATTATTCAAGGATGAGAGAGATGTTACAGAAAGGGAATGGAAGAACTACTTTTTGTCCGCTCACATCCCAGATCACACTGTGTACAAGACCCTGGAGAGAGAAGTGAAAAGTCTTTGCATGAATATTGAATTGCAGGATGCTGAATCACGTCTTTTGCGCCTCATGGCAGATTATACACTATCGTGGATCGATTAAACATGGAAGACGTGATTCAAACAGAACCAAAGAAAGTTATCGGATATTTAGTGGAGGCTCTACGACCACCAGCATTTAAAGCGACTGTGAAAGATCAGTTGGGGCGTCAGATCCACAAGGCGACTAAGTCGAGTATTCAAGCATTCTTGAAGTGGCTTCGGGTTGAGCTGGAGGGGTTCATGCGATTCGAGGCTCACATCGCGGTGCACGCAGCACCATAGAGCAGTACTAATTTTCCGCCGTCATCTGCATCGACCGGACCGGGAAAGAAGGGCCCGCGAGGAACTGGAGAAGGTAAGGCCACGTCGAGTGAAGCTAAGCCGGCGACGGTGTCGTACAAAGCGAGGCCTCCAGCGCCATCGAAGACAGAAAAACCAGACAAAACGTGTTTTAAGTGTGGCGATCCGACCCATGGTGTTTTCCCATGCCCGAACATTGCTAGTCTACTGGAGGCGAAGGAAATATACGAGAAGAGCACTGGAAAAAAGGTGATGAAGCCCGTTTTGGTAGCCACTACCGGGGGAACAACGCAGGAGACGTCTGCATCGATTCCGTGCCTGGTGATGGGAGCTGTGGAGACTTTAATCACTCCCGACAGTGCTGCCTCCGTGTCTCTAGTGACAATGAAATTGATTAACGACTTGAAGTCGGCCGGAGGAGAGGTGGAGATGCAGCCTTTGGCAAAGCCATCAGGCGTGACCGGCGTAGGGGATAAGACCGTTTCTGTTAGGACCAAAGTGAAGCTAGATCTGCGTTTTACGACTCCAGGAGAACCCTTGATTTTGAGGACCGTAAACTGTTGGGTCACGGAGGACAGTCTTCCGGCTGGAGTTGGCGATTCATTGCTCTCGTATTACATCATGGAGCATCTAGGCTACAGCTCGAAAACATTGATTGCAGCAGCTCAGAGTTTGCAGGAAATTTGGGATATGGGGGATGTTGAAGACGATTGTGAACTGGGTCTCTCAAAGGTTCTTGCGTACTCTGAAGCGCCTTCGGCGATCGAGCCGACAGTAGAGAAAACCCAACTGCACGACGACAAAGACCGTGCGTGTTTTCCAAGTTTCGACGGTGCAACCCGATCGGAAGATGATGAAGTGGCTGCGGTTCTGGAAGAGAAGCTTGCGGAAGTTAAAGAAGAGGGGGCGTCCCGCGAGTATGTAGAGCAACTGCGAGTCGTGCTAGTGAAGTTCAAAGACGTGTTCAGACTGAAAATCGGGAGGGATCCACCCGTTGACATGCCTGCGATGGAAATAACACTGAAACCTGGCGCAGTTCCAGTACGGTGCTGGGCTCGGCGCAACTCACCAGAGCACCGTGAGTTCTTGAAGAAGCATATACGTGAATTGCTGGAAGCTGGCTTGTGTTACAGGAACTCTCAGAGTAAGTGGTGCTCACCTCCGCACGTGGTGCGGAAGCCTGGAGTGGGAAATTTCAGGATGACTGTGGATGTAAAACTAGCAAATGAGAAAGTTGAAAAGGTCGTGTGGCCAATACCGATTCTTGAGGTGGAATTTGATCGCCTACGCGGATCGTCCCGTTACTTCTCGCTAGATTTCTTTAAGGGAATTTTCCAATTCGTCATGGCGGTGCACTACCCGGAGATTTACTCTATTCTAACTGAGGACGGAGTGGTCACGCCCACGCGCGTTCACATGGGAGGAACGAACAGCGTGGCACATGTGCATTCGACCGTGCAAGCAATGTTCGCGGAGGTGTTTAACAACGGGCTTCTCATCTGGATAGAGGATCCCTTGGGATACGAGAAGGATGATGTGGGTCTGTTGCAGTTGCTGGTAAAAGTGCTGGAAATTTGTGCGGACAAAGGGCTGAAGCTGAACTCGTCGAAGTACGCTTTTTTACTTGCGTGAGGAACTGTGGTGCGGGCGCGTGGTGTCGGGCGAGGGTGTGCGTTACGACCCCGCCCGCTTTGAGGCACTGGTGCGATTGCCACCTCCGTCGACAGGGAATGAATTGCAGCAGTTTATATGCGCATTGAATTGGATGCGCAGCTCACTACCAGCGTACAATAAGTTAGTGCATCCGCTAGTACAACTCGTGGAAGAAATCTACAAGAAAGCGGGTGGTCGGAAAAAGCAACTTGTGCGCAAGGTTGCTTTAAGTGATGTTGGCTGGGGCCATGAACATCAAGAGTATTTTGAGCGTTGTAAGACGACATTGAGCAAGGCGTTGCAGCTGGCGCACCCGGACCCAGCCAAGCGTTTGTGCATCTTCACGGAAGCCAGCGACCTGCACTGGAGTGCAGCAGTGACTCAAATACTGCTTGACCAGCAGCACCAGCCCCTTGGCGAGCAAGAACACCAACCGTTAATGATGCTAAGCGGGACTTTCTCGGGATCAGCTAAGCGTTGGGCTATAGTTGAGAAAGCAGCCTATGCGATAGTGGAGAGTTGCCGGCGTGCACCGTGCGGATGGGTTCGCTCTTTTCACCGATCATCGAAATTTGAGGTACATTTTCGACCCGCATGGAGTGTCCAGTGCAGTACCCAAGTACACGGCCGACAAACTTCATCGCTGGTCTCTACTGCTGATGGCTTATCGCTACGACATCTTTGATATTGCAGGAGATGATAACGTGTGGGCCGACTTACTATCAAGGTGGGGCTCGACGTTTCTAACTATCAGTGCAATAAGACATCTGCAAATGCCTTTATCGCCGCAGTTGGATGCGGAGTTTGTGTGGCCTTCACTTGAGGAGTTTCAACGCGCACAGGAGAGTGCGTCACTGCCTGAGGGAGCCCATAAGTCGGACGACAACAGCATCTGACTAGTGAAGGGTGACAAGATCTGGATCCCGGAGAAGATGTCGGAGCTAGAGCTCAGCATATGTCGTGGGGCATTTTGGCGTAGCGGGGCACCGTGCTTCGGAGGTGACTTTCTCAGCGATTTCTGCTAAGCTCTATTGGAAGAGCTTGAAGGAGGACGTCGTGTTTTTTGTGAGACGTTGCTTGCACTCTGCGAGTTCGACTGGTGTTCCACCACTGTCACGCCCATTTGGAGAAGCTGTCGAGGTGATAAGCCCAATGAGCTGATCCATTGGGATTACCTGTACATCGGAAAAAGTGACTCAGACTTGCAATATGTGTTGGTTATAAAAAAAAACGATGCATCGAAATTTGTCTGATTGATGCCTACAGATGCAGCAACGGCTGACAACACTTTTGACTTTCTCATGGATTGGTTTGGATGTTTCGGTGTGTGCCGCTTCTGGGTGAGTGACCAAGGTACCCACTTCAAGAACAAGGTAATCGATGGAATAAGCAATGGGATCTCATCATCACTTTACGACAGCTCGTTGCCCGTGGGCAAACGGCACAGTGGAGGTCGTAAACCGTGAGATTCTGCGGTGCTGCCGGGCACTGCTGTCCGAGTGGCGACTGCAGCCGACAGACTGGCTTCGCGTAATCAAAATTGTGCAAATGGTCTTGAACCATTCTCTCTGCTCTGCTATTGATGGAGTGGCCCCTGTGGCAGCCAAGACGGGGTTAAGGGCCATGAACCCCACGGACCCCATTGCGGTGCCCGAGCCGATACAGGTGACTACACTGGATGAAATTAAGCGCAGCAGGAGTGAGAACATTGCTACGCTACAAGCGGCGCTAGCAGACATGCATAAACGCACATCAAAGGCGAACAAGAAAAAAGGGCAGATAGCAAAAAACATCGT